TCTCTAAAATTTCCAATTAATTTTATCATGGAAACTCTTGTGTTAGATGAGTTATAATAACAGTCTGTTGTTCATAATATAGGAATGAACAAAAGTCCCCACTTTTGTTCATTCCTATATTCAAACCATAAAATATGACCACACACAAGAGAACTGGGTGATGTTTCAAAGTTTCCCATGCAATAAATTTTCACTTTCTTTGCAGAAAAATGACTGATATGTAGAGGCATCCAGAAGGGAAATGTCTGCCGTAAATTTACTTCTGACCCATAAAAAAACATTGTTTCATTTTTGTGGCAGTGACAGGAATTTTAGAATAATAATATCATTCTATGTTGAAATGAGGGGGAAACAAACAAAAAGCAAAGGAAATGCTTGGTATATTGAGTCACTTATTCTGGAATTTATGAAATATTTCAAAAACATCAAGAAATGTTAAATTGGATCCTGCCATTGATGCTCTAAAACATAGTGAAGTGTTTCTAAAACCTCAAATATAAATATTTAATTAAAAATAACCCAAAGAGAAAAAAATGAAATCACTAAAACAACAACAAATAAAAACAGTGCTACTTCACTGGCTGCTTTCTAAAACACTTAGTACGAAAATATGGCCAAGAAAGGGACAGGAGCATAAAACAAAGAATAAACAAATAAAATTAGAAGCTAGTGGTTCTTCTACGGAGATTATACTTCAAAGTGAACTGAGTTATTTAAAATACTAAGGACAATAATATCAACACAAAAGACAACTTTTAGAAGAAGACAATCAAGGATGCAATAGACTCAAGACATGGGTCAGAGAATGATGGAATGACAGCGCATGTGAAATCGAAAGTGTAACCTCTCAACTGCTATTTATTCCTTCCATCTTCTCAAAGAAAATCTCAAATTAACTCAAATGCAAAAGGAAAGATTGTAAATATATCCTATCCTTTACTTAAGGGGACTATTGTAAATATTTTTAATCTATTTTTGCTGATCCTAACCAGTCTGAGGTAGCCATCTGCTGAGGAACTGATTAAGATTTGTTTTAGGTATATTGCAAAGACAAAAGCTGAAGAAATGGTCAGCTTCTGACTTGAAAATATGATTAGGTAACAAGCCAAAAGCTTTTAAAGCCAATCTCTAGAGAAACTATTCTCCAAATTTCTTCATTGCCTCCTTTTGCATGTCTAAAAATTAACCTTGAAAACACCGGCTCAGGGGTTAACCAGATTGCAGGAAAATATCCCTTTCTACCACTAATGTTTGTCTGAAGTCACAAAAGGAGGAAACTGATCTGGAGACAGTAAGAAAACCTTGCCCATTTTTCTTTTATTTTTCTTTCTTTCCTTTCTTTCTTTCTTTTTTTTTTTTTTTAAGACAGAGTCTCGCTCTGTCACCAGGCTAGAGTGCAGGGGCACAACATTAGCTCACTGTAACCTCTGCCTTCCAGGTTCAAGTAATTCTCCTGCCTCAGCCTCCAAAGTAGCTGGGACTAGAGGCATGCACCATCACGCCCAGCTAATTTTTTTTTTTTTTTGTATTTTTAGTAGAGACGGGGTTTCACCATGTTGGCCAAGATGGTCTTGATTTCCTGACCTCATGATCTGCCTGCCTCAGCCTCCCAAAGTGCTGGGATTACAGGCATGAGCCACAGACCTGGCTTGTTTTTTCATCATGTAAGATTTATTGGAAGGTATATGAAAAAGGGTGAAAGAACATATGTTCTGATTTCTAATTTGGGGGATTTGTGTACAAAGGGCCTCTTTCCTATACATGCAACCTAGCACTGTGAGAGGGACCACTGGATTGAGGGCTCCAGGTCAACAGGTAAGCCCACCCTCACTAAGCACGTGGAGCAGCAGGGTCAGAGAGAAATCCCTGGCTGACACTCCCGAGCTCTGCTCAGTTCTATTAAAGTGTGAATTCCAAGCTGACTGTCCCCAGCCCAGGACACATACTGATGGGATCAGGTGACCCCACAGAGGCTAGGGCTATACCCTGTGTGTGTGTGTGTTCAACAGGCGTATGCTGAACAAGCGCCTGCTTAAGACCAGAAGACCCCACTTTCAGTGTTGTAAAAACACATAAGCCACAATCCCCACCTCTCCTAGACCAGGACATTCCTGAGGGAGAGAAGCAAGGGAAGAGCTATCTGAGAGCCTGTCATTCAGAAGGGGCTGCTTGCATCATCAGATAGACTAAACTTTAGATCCCATTTGACCTGTAGGTAGTCTTTTTTCTTCCATTTAGCAGTGGGTGAGGTGGGTGAAGAATATATCTTCAATAAATAAAGGGACTAGTTTTCTGAACAAATCCAAGTTGGCTTGTGAGGTAAATTATCAATCCTAGGTTAAAATAAATAGCATCCCATGGAACTGAAATAACTGTTATCATGAATTATAAAGAGAAATGAAAATAGAAGGAAGATGGGGTTATGGAGAAAGAGAGAAGGGAGAAAGGAGATAAGGTGAGCAAAAAAAGAAAAGGAAAGAAAACGAGGTGAATAAAGATGAAGAAAAGAGAGAAGGAAGAAAGGAAGGAAGGAAATCTGTGCTCACAAGACAACAGGATGAGTTAATTCAGTGGCTCAAGTGTGAGCCTCTGAGTCTTAAACCTGTATTAAAATTTCACCCTTACAACTCGGTAGTCATGGTTCTCGGCCAAAGCCAATTTATCTGTCTAAGCTTCAGTTTAGCAACATTATATGCAAAACAAGACCGATACCTATCATACAGATACAGATTTATTCATATGGTCTAAAATCCTTTAAAGAGCCAACAAAGAGACAGAAGTCTACACAATAAGTGATTTGACCCACCTCTGTGCATATCCGTCTTTACAGGACCTGAAAACCTCACAGAAGGCTTAATCTGAATGATTTTCACATGAAACCAGAAAAAGGTCTCCAGTTTGCGGCTGAAGTTATGAAGGCAGCTGAGAGAAGACAGAAGCAGGGAGTCTAACGGGAAGCCCTAGGTCTCAGAAGGAAGCCTGGAGAGAACCTGGTCCTTTCAGGCCATGGAACAGAAGGTGAATCTAAGTTAAAAGCCACTCAGATATAGGACAGAGGCCCAGCTAACACCAAAGACTGTGATTTACTTTGGTAAATTGATTTCAATAGATGAATGATGACAGTGATGATGATGATGACTTCCTAATAAAGGCTGGAAATTAATAGATTAAATAAACTATACAGACCTGGCACTCGTTAATTTAAGGGAGCCATTTAAGTTTCTAATTATATCTTGTGGACAAAGCAGGGGATTTAGATAGAAGGAAATTGAAAAAAACAAAACCCACTCCCAGAGTCAGGAATCTATATCTGGACATTTTGCACCCAAACAATGTTGATTAATGAATCAATCTGAAGCCAGAGGAAAAGTGGTGTAACATTGAACTCTGAAGTTTACTCTGCTACTTGTGTATTTTCATCCATAATTTGTAAGAAAGACGTCAAAAGCACCATTGTCAAACTGCAGAAAATCCTAAACCAGGATGAGGAGCAAATTAGATATACAGAATGAGATAATCAGAAGTACAATTTTTTTTTTTTTAATGAGCCAGGACATATCTGATGTGATAGCAGCTCATGTGGAAAAAGTAAAGTAAAATCAAAGAATTTGAGTGAGCACAAGCTCAAGGTGATACGGCTGTGAAGGAAGCTTGTGTCATTAAGCCTGTATCAGTATCCGCCAGTGGCCTTCCAACTCGCTGGATCCAATCATCATAATTCATCCTGCAATGATGATATCATATCTGGATTATTATTCTTAGTTCTCATTCTTGTGCTGTAAGTGACATTTGTATGATTAGAGGACATCTATGAGCAGTAAGAAGTCTTCAAAAATCCTTAATGAAAGTGAGGATATCTTGTTTGTTAGGGATGAAACCTCAATGGGACATGTACTTTCTGCACATACAGCTAGTGCTCGACTTACGACCACGGTCAGGACCGCGGACCAGTTGTAACACGATTTGGTTGTAAGTTGAGTAGGCTATATGTACAGTTGAAATGGTGCACGCGGAGATGGTAGTGCTGCCGGAAGCTGGTCCGCACTGTCGTACCCCAAGCTGGGCAACGTTTGCACTGCCAGACACAGAGCAGTTGTGGCTAGTGATTGTGGTTGTAAAGTTGAATGGTCATAAGTTGCATAGGTCGTAAGTCGATCAATATCTGTATGTGAAAGCTCTTCATAAAATACATTTATTCTTTGTGTAGCTACAGTGCAGACCCAGCCCAGGTAGACATGTTACAGAAACCCATCCGGTTCAGTGTAGTACAGCCAGAGGCAATGAAAGGAAGAGGGTAAGTTAAAGCCAGCCATAACTCAGGCATTAATTCATTCATAATTCAAGAATCAACAGGTATTTTTGAGTGCCCTCTCTATGCCAGACATTGCTTGGTAGTAAGCTGGAGATGATATTCAAGATATTGAACAACTGTTTGGCATAAGCATCAACCATTCATAACAGATACCTAATTAATCAGAAAGTATGCCAGCCTCAAAGGGCAGTATGGCCATCCTAGTGCATACTGCAGCACAGCCCAGTGTTACCAGTCCAAGAAGCAAAAATCCATGTGTGATTACAGCACACAAAGACACCTGCTGTCTTTGAAGCATGAATAAAGATTCACAGCAGCCCAGAAAAACAGACAGAAAGACTTAATAATCAAAAAGCTTTTGAGAGGATGCTTGATGAATAGTGTGGTGAACCAGCAGGTGAAGGAAATATTACAGGCAAAGTTATAAAGCTTCAACAGTGTTCAGTGTGTCTAGGGAGCCATAAGTATGTCAAAATTGCTGTATCATCATGAAGGCGGGATAAGTAGTAGGCAAACAGAGGCCAGATCATGAAGGGTTATGAGTACTACTGTGCAAAGCAGTATGTAGGATGCTTTGCTTCTGGCTACGGGGATCACTGAAGAACTAAGAGCAAGAAAATTATTCAATAGGAAGTTCACTCTAATGGCACTGAGAAATGCAGACAAATACAGCTACTGCAATTGTTTAGGACTGGCTTAAATTAGAGAAGTGGTAGAGGAAGAGGAAAAAAAATATTCATATCAAGGACAACAGGAGGTGGCCAGTTAGCACCTACTGACTAAAGTAGAATTACACATAGATTTCTTGCTTGGGAAATCGGGTCATTCACTGAGACGAGAAGTGTGGGGTTGCAGGTACACTTGGAGACTCTTGAAAAGAAAAATTACAACTTTTGAATTTCAGTGTTTAACAGTATATGAAAAAAGTATCTAAGTTATGTAGGGAACTTGAGAGCAAGATGTGATCTTCGGACTCATTACATCTGAAACTGCCCTAAAGAAGGAAATTGGAGAAGAAAATGAGGGAGCTCAGAACTGACTTAGGAAAACTAATATTTACACAGTGGATTGAGAAAAGAAGCTTACACACACACACACACACACACACACACACACACACACACACTAAAGCCATATCTCTCTAAATGAGCAATCTTGGGCAAGTCACTTTCCCTTAATGAATTTCCTCAACTTATAACTTGGGAACACAGCTCACAGGGAAATAAATAATCATGAATGGTCGTGCTCTCAAATATTAGTTCTCTTCTTTCTTTTGTGTATATTTTGAGTCTGAGTCTTTGACTAGCTAACATAGACTAGCTAAGACTATCTCATTCATATATTGACTTGAACATGTCTTACTAAAATAATTAAAATTAAACAGATTGGTGATATAAAGGGAGGGCAAAAATTCAGGAATAAGATAAATTTGGATTCCAAATTCAAATCTAGAAAATATCCTTATCTGAACATGTTTTCTCAGTTGTAAAATGAAGTTAACTGTACCTATCTCACAGGAATCTGTTGCTTAAGGGAAGTAATATAAGTAGCGCATCTCTCTCAGCATCTGCAACACAGCAAGCATTCAGTAAGTCTCAGTTCTTTCTTCATTTCAACTCTTTACTTCTCAAGTGCACTGTACCAGACATAATACAACATTTCCTTAATGACTCAGGGTTATCATTATGAACATCAGTTAATGTTACGTGTCTAAGATGCAGATGCAGCTGCAAATGTAATAGAACATCAGGCGAAATGAACCACTCATGTAACACACAGTTGACTTGCCTAATTTTGTCATGTGCATGATACTGAATCCGCAGCAGCTTGAGATGATTTACCAGGCACACAAAAAAAATTGTGAACAGCTGCCTTTCTAAGATTTGGTATCATATAAGGGAGACGAACGAATGTTATAGTGATTCATCAACCTCTCAGGTCCAACGTTTATTTGTTCTCTTACGGCGAACATAACTTTCTTATGTGTCTGGTCTTGTCTTTTATAAATGAAGTCTGGAATCTGTGTTGTACCACACTGTATTCTATAATGCAGCTCTGTTCACTGAATTTGCATCCACAGTCTGACAATACTTTTGAACTTCTATTTGCACTAGGGCTGTCAAAGGATCTCTTCTAGCTAACGCCCAAACCTACTTACAGTCTGCATTTCATGTTCCTGTGACCCTACCCTGACCCTAGGTGAGTGGACCAAGAAGAAGTACTAGATGGATGGACAGCGGATTCATAGCTCAGGATGTACCTTATGGGTAGACCTGAGAGAATGAGCTAAGCCAGTTGGATTCTTTGTTTTCAAAAGGCACAAAGGGAAACAACAGAAACCGTGCCAGTCAGTAGTAACCTGGTAGTGAAATAATGTCATGTCTAATCCAAAGTTTGGAGGGACCCAAAAAGATATGGAAAGGAGGAGGATGAAGTCAGCTGGCAGTAAACAAACAATGAAATCTATTGGCAAAGAGAAGCACAAGCAGAGCTTCTGCTGCTGATGATGATGATGATAATGATGTGTGTGTGTGTGTGTGTGTGTGGGGGAGAGAGAGAGAGAGAGAGAGAGATACCTGAGGGAAGACAGAAGAAAAGGAAGGAGAGTGTAAGAAGGAGGGGGCAGCAGAACAGTAGGATAGAAGGGCAGGAAATGGGAAAAAAGGAGGGTGTCAGGGAGGAGAAGGAACTGGGGCTAGAAAAACCCATCAATCCCTATAGATGCCTTGCGCCTATAGTGCTCTATAGATACCCTTCCGGTCTGTGTATTTCTTTAAAATATATCTTTTTCTTGAGATAACTTGAGAGGAGCTTTTCTTTCAATCAATTTAGCCTGACTGATACATTATAATTGTATCAAAACACAGCCAAGTTCCTCTAGTGTAGAGTGCTGAGCTGCTACGGTTGCCATGGCTTTTGATTGACCTTCAAGGCTGAGTTAAGGGACTCTCCTTCTCTACTTCCTGCCCCTTCCCCACATTCACATACTCACTGCACAGACATGAGTTTCCTTTAGAGAATCACAGGATATAAATAGCTAATGATCCAGGGTTCTTGGTTTTATTTCCTGGAAAGTCCCCCATGAGCTGTCCCTTTCCCTCATTCTCTTTCTCCATGACTGCTGTTCTTCCTTGCCCACTCTTCCTTTTTTCCCTCTACTTTACTTTTTCTGGTAGCTTCTGCCTCATCTTCTTCCTTGAATGCTTCTCAGGTTTCACAGATCCTTTAAAAACATCGACAGATAATCAATGCCCCAACCAATACACCCTCTCTAACCTTCACAATCTATGCTCTTCTCTGTCATTTGTTTCTTGTTTTTCTGTCAACATAATGGTTTCTAGATTTTGTTCAGTTATTCTTGAGTCCTGAGTAATTCCAAAAGCCTGTAAGGATTCAGAAGGCTAGGATCTGAACAGCTGAAACTTCCAACAATGACAGCAATCAAACAGTAGCATGCACTGACCCACAGTGAGCAGCTTATGCCTGGCCCTGCAAGCTTTGCAGTCACCAGGCATGAACAGGACAGTTCGGGGCTCAAGAGAGACCCCAGGACTGTCAATTTTTGAGATGTCTGAAACATAAAAAACTGAAAAATGCCAAACAGAGGTTTAAAATATAAATAAATGTTCTATGTCTACATTTAAACATATTAACACTTAATTTAAAAACAACAGGACACACACTTGTAGTACCCAAACAAAATTATAAAATTTTGAAGAAATTTGAGTTTAAAATTTTAGAGTAAATGAACCTAAATTCTTCTCTAAATCTTCTCTAAATCCATCAGTTAATCTGTAGGACTAAGGAACCTTCTGTAGAGAGAAGGTCAAATGTCTAAATTTAAGATACTGGGCCTTCTGTGAACTGAGGCCCTGGCTAAATAATTCCCCTCCCTCTGGAATAACTCCTGCCAGAACTCTTACAGTAATCCTACAGGTATGAGAGCCAAGGGTTGGGTGTGATCTTACCACATTATACATTTGTATGTTTAAGGTTTCATGGCTGCCTTTTATTTGAATATTTAAATGAATTCTAATTAAAAAGGACAAATAACTGAGCTCTGAGCTTTGCCCTATCACAGTACAGACATAGGACACTGGACAGGTCACTTACAAGCTGCAGGTATCAATTGTCTCAATTGCCTAATCCTTTAAAATGAGTGGATCCACAAGACCAGAGAGTTGTTATCTTTTAGAGCTTTAAAATTCTGTATTAGGCTAGGTGTGGTGGCTCATGACTGTAATCCCACCACTATAGGAGGGTGAGGATGGAGGATTGCTTGAGGCCATAAGTTCTAGACCAGCCTGGGCAATACAGTAAGACCCCATCTCTACAAAAGATTTTTTTTTAATTAGGCAGGCACAGTGGTAAGAACCTGAAGTCCTAGCTACTTGGGAAGTTGAGGCAGGAGGATAATTTGAGTCCAGCAGTTCAAGGCTACAATGAACTAGGATCACACCACTGTACTCCAACCTAGGTGACAGGGTGAGGCCTTGCATATATATATGTGTGTGTGTGTGTGTGTGTGTGTGTGTATGTGTGTGTGTGTGTGTGTGTGTATATATACATACACATATATATTTTACATTCCTTTGAGTTTTCAATGTAAGAAAAAAGAAGTATGAACTGACAGAAGTTCGTGAAGCAAGTTGTCATCCTATATTAATGAGCTTCAGTGAAAGAGCAGTAAGAGCTAGAAAATTTTATATGCCAGCTATTTAAAAACAGAGGCAAGAATGTCCTATATCCAACAGAAAGGTTTAAAATTCATTGAGTTATTTTCTATTTAGCATCACAAAATTTCAGTTTATTTTGCCTTCTGATTATTGCCCAACTTTATTTCACACACACACAAAAAACTAGACGATCGCGCTCAATCAATATCAAGGCAAGAAATTTGAGGTAAGTGGCATCTGGAACCCTCTCACCCTTAGGACAGTGCTAAACAAAAATACAGATTGGGGTGGAGAGGCCCATTAGCCAGACTTACTAGCATTTGCACATGCTAGTCTGTATGGCCCCTTCTCACAAACTACAAATTTAACTGTTAGATGAAAATCTACATTTGTTTCCATCCCCACTCCATAAGTATAAAAAAAAGAGTATGTTCCTTCCTCCCCAAGGAAGGAGGAGCAGCTAATCTAATTGCAGAAAACCTGACAGTCATCAATAGTTTTTGGTTCTGTGTTCCCACCCAAATCTCATCTTGAATTATAACAATCCCCATGTGTCAAAGATGGGACCACATGAGCATAATTGGATCATGGATGTGGTTTTCCCCATGCTGTTCTCATGATAGTGAGTGAGTCTCATGAGATCTGATGCTTTTATAGACATCTGACATTTACCCTGCTTGCACTCATTCTCTCTCCTGCAGCCCTGTGAAAAGGCTCCTTCCACCATGAGGCCTCCCGGCCATGCAGAACTGGGTCAATTAAACCTCTTTTCTTTACAAATTACCCAGTCTTGTGTATTTCTTCATGGAAGCATGAGAATGGACTAATACAATCATTGAATCACAATTTGCTAGTAGGTGATCCAGATTCATGTGTTAAAGGGGCATTGCTCATGTGTGGCTGGAACCAAGTATGTAATGCTGCTTGCCTGCCTGTGTTCAGGTGTAATGGAGCCCTCACTTTCTTTTATTCTTACGCACACTTGGGGAGGATCTCCCCATTCTCTCTTTCTCTGAGAAAATAAAAAGCACCATTTGTCTCTCTTCCAGGTTCTCTGAGACTGGATGGGCAAAGTTGATTAAATTTGTCCTGAAAAACTGACCTCATCCACAGATCTGCTTCAAAGGAGGTAAAGCATAACTGGGTTTTAGGTATGAACCTCACTCTTTCATGTAGTTTATCAGAGCCCTGCTTCGTGGAGTAAGTGCTTGACAACCAACAATAAGGCTATTTTCATCTCTATTTTAGTCTATTCTTCATTTTCTTTCACAAAAACTAAAGCAAGAAGTCAAAATTTGGCATTATACGCCAACCTTTAAGTTACTGGTTTGTTGGCTAGAAAATTTGAGAATAAATACTAATACTAGAAACACGCAGAATGATGTAGCTCAGTTTGCCCTCTGCGTATTTCTGAAGCTTATTATTGTGGTTACATTTTGTTTTGAAACAATGGCTGCAGCTAGTTGGTTTGACAGAACTTTACACAGCTTAAAAGACCAAGTTTCCTGTAGGGAATGAACACCAATGTTTGGGCACTGGTCTTTGGAAGTTAGCACTAAATATTGATAAACAACATTTAACCCACACTCCAAATTCAGTTCTACTTTACCTTGGCATACAGAAGTAGGAAAAAAAAAGGAGTGAAGACACTAATTTCTTGATTTTTGTATCTCACTTACAAGCTCTTGATATTACCAATACATGATCTCCAGTTGGCTCTACATTGCTTTTTGTGTACAGTAAAATATACATAAGATATATCATTTTAACCATTTATACGTTTATGCTTTAATAGCAATAAGTACATTCACAGTGTTGTATCACCAAACCCAATATTTCCTGAACTTTTTCATGATCTCCAGCAGAAACTCTGTACCCATGAAACAATTCTCAATTTGCCCCACCCCGCAGTCTTGGTAACCTCCATTCTATTTTCGGTCCTTCTATTAATTTGCCTATTCTAGTGACTCTATAAAGTGAAATCATACATTTGTCCTTTTGTGTCTGAATTTTTTTACTTGGCAAATGTTTTCAAGGTTCATCCATGTTGTAGCATGTAAGAAAATTTCATTCCTTTTAGGATTAAATGGCATCCCATTGTATGCATACACCACATTTCGTTTGTCCATCCATCATCTGTTGACGGCCACTGGGGCTGTTCCCAAATTTTAACTATTGTGACTAGCTATTTTAGCTGCTATGAACATTGGTATACAGGTATTTGTTTGAGTCCCCGTTTTCAATTCTTATAAGTATATATCTAGAAGGGGAATTGCTGGATCACATGGTAATTCTGTTTAACTGTTTGAGAAACTGCCAAACTGTTTTCCGTAGTAACTGTCCCTTTCATATTCCCATTAGCAATGCATGAGTGTTCCAATTTCTCCCCATACTAGCCCACACTTGATACTTTCTGGGTTTGTTGCGGTTTTCTTTTGTTTTGAATAACAGCCATCCTAATGGCTACAAAATGATTTTTACTGTTTTTTATATAAGGCCTTGGATTGAAATAAACACTGAAGGCTGTTACCCAATATGCATTTCTTCTTTCCTTTTTTCTAAAGAACTCCATTTCATTTTGTTATCAATTGCATTCCCAGCTCTAGGTGGTGATGCTACTTAGTCAGTGAACTGGCTCATAGTATTCCCTATTAGCGATTTTCGTCCAGGATAGAGTCAATCAGACAAAAGGAAAGGTGTTTAAGGACTTAAAAGATGTCCTTTTTCCTTTCCATTTCATCCCCCCCTACTATAAATAGAGAACGTGCTGTCCTAGTTTTTTGCTGGAGTCTTCTTATAACTGAAAGAGGAAGGAACCTGAGGACAAGACTGAAACTCTAAAGATGACAGGGAAGAGAAATGTGAAAAAATCAGAATCTTTGATGATATAATGAACACAAAATCATCCAACTACCAAGTCTACTCCACCGATGGATGTCTTTTTACATGAGGTAATAAATGGCTCTATTTTTTTAAGCCAGCGTGAAATGACAAAAGGATCCCAATTCATCTTCTGTGACCATCTTTATGGTTTACAAATGAGTAAAAAGTTAAAAACCACGACCAAAATTAAGAGAAAATTAAAATATTATAACATTGATTCAATGTCCTGAGTTTATTTCTAAATTCAAGGAAGAAACAGAAACTGTTTTAAAACAGGTGAAAACATGAAATTGAGAAGGTTTGGATTTTATGCTCCCTAACTTCTAATACATCCTGAATTTCTTGAGTAGATATAAGCTTACTCAAAACTCAGTGACTCAATCAGTGCTTTATTTAACCATGTTCTCCTTTGTGAACTATTACTTCAATGAAAAGCCTGAAATAAACCTTTTCTTTGAGTGTCTTTTATACGAGGTAAGTTGGACATTCATTTAAAATGTAGGGTGATACTATTTCCCCACTGGCCCAAAATGCTTGTTTTCCTCTGTTTCCTTGCATTCTCTGAATCGTGTATTCACATGGAGTCAGCCTGTCATGTCACCAGTAGCAAATGAGTTGCACAATCGATTCTTCCTTCCTTTTCTCTAAGAAACCTAAGTTTTGGCAGAGCAAGAGGTTCACTGTCAGCAGAATGAACCCAGTTGTCATTTCAGGTCATTTCGGGTAGAAAAGGTCAAAATTATAATGGCCTCCTTGTAACCATTCTCAGTGACTTAAGCAGGACATCTCACTTAGAATATGCCATTCAGATCAACCAGCTCCACATATGTCAAGTCACAATGCCCCCTAGGAAGCACTTAGTCTAACTAATAATATGATGAAATGCACTATTATGGGCTGCAATGGAAGCACGAAAACCTTAGATATAAATGACTCTTCTAAAATGTCTTGGTTTGGATTTATGATACACAGGTCAAGCATCACTTTCAAGGCACTCAGAAAGCATTAAAATAGAGAAAATAATATGTCTTCTGGGTCCTATCCTTTCAATGCCATTCAGTAGATTGTTCTTTAAGGCCAGGTCTACACTTGAAAGTGCATGATACAGCTCACCCTGCTATAGCTGCTGCTTCACTCTTCTCTTGGTTTTAAAAGCAGCCAGAGCTGAAAATAGCTCAAGAATGAAGCCTGCATGACTGTGCAGTTGCCATTTCAAACATACACAGAAAATGTTAAGCCTCAGGCTATTTTTCTCAAGTATGGACAGTCCCTAGGAGAGATAGTTAAAACTTACCCCTAAAATATTCTCTGCAAATGGAGGTCATTGGAAAGGAATAAACATATAGGGATCATCTGACCTCTGACTAGGTAGAAATGTTGTCCTAAAACCAAAGAAAACGAAGACCAGTTGTTTTTTAAAAAATTTGAACAAAGGAATATATTATTAGATAAATTTAAGATATTCTATAGGAATTTTAATAGTGATTTGATATTGTTTGTGGCATAACAATATTCAGGGATTATTGTGGGGACAGACAAAAGACCAAAAATGCAATATTAACAGAGGCTGATTTATAGGAAACAAAACTTAAGCATTACTAAGTTTTAGACATAGCTCAGTATTTTCTCTCTTATGGTCCCTCTGTACATTGTCTGAGACTTAAAATGTTATCTTTGTTATCTAAAAGTGCATTTTTAAAACCATCAATTCAAAAAAGGCCCAATTCAAAAGTACTCTAAGGAATAGAAAAGTGAAGGATGTGTTTGAAAATGTAAGGGCTGAAAATATTAAGCAAAGATATCACATATGACCTCCATGAATCTTTAGAACTCATATGATGTGGCGCCTATGTTTCCTTTATACTAAATTAGTTATTAAAGCACACTTTGGCTGCAATATTAAAAGTAACATTATATACATAAGGGATAACATGTCTTCTTTATCTAGATTGTTTTTCCTCTAGATGTTTATATTTATAAACATTTCTAGAGCATTCACTTTATCCCAGGCACTATTTCATACACTTTACAAATATTAGGTCATTTAATCTTCACAATTACCAATGTGAGTAGTATTCTCATCATCACTGTACAAACGAACTGATGAATAGTAAAGTTAAGTAAATTGCCCAAAGTCATACAGCTAGTAAGGAATAGGACCAGAACGTGAACCAAGAAAATGTGGCTCCCCGGTCCATAGTCTTAATCACCATGCTACTAAAAGAATTCATCTGCAGCCTCTCAAAGCAGAAGGAAATGATAGATAATAGGGCAACAGAACAAAAGTCTAATTCTAATTTTGTCACTAACTACATCTGACCTTAGGCAATTTCCGTAAATTTTCTGGACTTCTGATGTCTCATTAGGAAAATGGAAGATCTTTAGTAAGATCTCATCTTCCTCTAAAATTCTGCAATTTAGAGCTTTTGACCTTCAGTGTATTTACAGTGGTTGAGAGCATGAGCAACAGGGTAACAAAAAAGTAGGCATGCAAGAAATGAAGGTACCAAGAATTGAAGGTACATAGAAAAGGACACAGCACAACCTGCTTTAGATTTAATGCCCTTTAATTGATACAGTTTGTCACCAATTATCCCTGATTTTTCCATCTGGTTTTATTGTTGAAAATGGCTGCACTATGTAAAGATAAGTATGCTAAAACAGTGTTACTGTAAAAAACTATATGAGTAACACAATAAAGCGAAACCTGGAAAATGTAAGCCTATTAACCATGAAGAACAATAGCATGTTGTATCTGAGTGGATAATCTATTTCCACTAGATGTCACAAATACAGACTCATCATTACAAGCAGCTTCGAGGCAAAGTACTGAACTGCCAATTCGTCTTCTAAGTGCCCACTAGGGACATAAAATAGTTAAAGTTATTAGTTAATGAATTTCTGTGTAATGACTGCTTGAGAGAAATCTAAAGATGATCCACCAACTACAAAGTAATCTAATCAGCTTGGTTGTTCATCAAAACTCTATCAAACAAATTTGTATTCTGACTTACATAATACATAGATTTTAATATATGGGCTCACTTTCAGACAGATATTTGCAGTAAATCAATAAGATCTGCATTCCAATACATTGCCTCGACGAAGCAAGAGGATTCATTTTAATGATCCCCCACTGTGCCATTATTAAGTTGCACTGACTAAGTATTTTTTGGCAATATTTTTTTCTCCAAAAACACATCTAAACAACTGCAAAGCAGTTCGTCAATACAGTCAATTGAGGAATAACTGCAGTTGAGGCAACTGAAAAAATGTTTATACTGTTCTGAAAGAACTGACCAACTGATTGATTTTTTTATTAAATTAATTTGCTACTTTTGTGAACAGTTCCACAAAAATTAACTTTATATGCTTCCCCTTTCCAGTCAACATGTTCTACATAGAAGAGTAGTCATATATTGGCTTGAGTTTAGTTTTCACTTCTTTGTTTAATCAGCAATTGTCATTAGTTCACTATAATTACCTTCTTTAGGAAATTCATAGTACCAGAGGAAAACACAGGCTTGATAGCATTCTATATTTTCCTTCTAAGTTTTTTCCCTATGTAAACATATATTTTTACAGGACTTAGATACTAAGGTATACATATTTCGTGTCCGTGTTTATTTAACACTACGTACTGGGTATACTTCTTTAATATTCTTCATAATACCATTTTAATGCCTACAAAATATTCCATCATGTGGAAGTAATATAATACTCTACGAATATATACTTATAAAGAAATTATCATGTGTATTTCGACATTTTGATTTACAGAAGTTTTCTAAAATAAAAAGCTTTATCAAAAAGTATGAAAACGTTAAATACTTTTAGCAACTGCTGCCAAATTATCAAATCAAAATGTTGTGTGTACATTTACTTTCACCAGCAGACCAATATGCTCCTCGTTATCGTTAAAGTGCATGCTTTTTTCCTAATTTCATAGGTAAAAATAATTTAATCTGCCTGTGTTTTAATATGAGTGAATTTTAAGTTTTTCATCTGTTTATTAACCATACATACTGCCTCTTTTTAAAATGCATTTTTCTAGTTGGGGGAACTCTTATTGTTGTTTTTACCACTGCTCTATCTCACCTGGATTTTTCATTCCTAATTGGCTACTGTCACTAAGGCAATGTAAAGAAAGAGTCACGTAAAGTTTTTTACCTTTCCTAATGTACCATTTTTAATTGTATTTCTTATATGTGTGTGCAAAATGGAAAATCCATACCAAATAAGAGGCAATGGTGAACTAAAGATGACCTCTGATTGGCCGGCTACTTTAGTCTAGAAAATCAATACGTGGATAATATTATATAGCTCAAAAATCTCTTTCTTGTACTTCCTTAGACTGGCAGCTGTTCTTGCATCACAAAAAAACACATTTGTCTCAAATTTAAAATTTAGAGTCATTCCCACTGCTCTTAAAACTCCATTATGCACGATCATGTGCCTATCACATTAATTATTTATGCTGAAATATTTTCAAGCTAAATATTAACTATTTCCAATATAAAAATTTCTCAGGAAACAAAAACATGCAAAATCTGATCAATGACAAAAATTCCTACCTAAACACCTTTCTTCCTTTTTCAATACCAATGCATTAGACATGACTGTAATATAGTTGTTGTAGAGAACTATCAGAATAACTGATAAGAGATAAAGATCAAAACTGTAGGGTGCCAGTGTCTTACAGCTGCTAATCAGAAGCAGATTTTATACAAAGCCATCCCATAATCCTATCAGGGGCCAACTGTCCTTGCAGCCTAATTAAAAAGTGAAATCACACTGGAACCATTTGACATTGTTCAGAAAGAAGGCAAAGGCATCCAGAATACAGGACTTGGGGATAAATATGTATACAAAAAAATGTTAATACATTGCTATATGATTAAATATATTAAAAGGCCCAAAATCAAGTAAAGTGTTTTAAAAGTTTTATTTGTGAGTACATTATTACTTCCTTCATCACTTAAAACTGGACCAAACCTTGTGAATTTAGTAGGTTAAAACTGCCTCCTAAAAGTGTACCTGAGATAATGAGAATTCTAATAGGCATATAGAACAGTGATAATCAACAGAATGAGCTACATTTACTATAATCAATTAACTACAAATATACACACTGTTAAAATGACTGAAATGATCAAGGTAAATCAAGACATTGTTGCACAGCTGAAATAGTAATCTAATGTACAGTAGGGTACCATTTTTATTTTGTCACAGGCTTGGTCATCAGTGTGTTGAATGAAGTCTTATCTAATATCATGACCAGTGGACATGCAGTGTTTGTAATGCCTGTAATGAAATATTTTACTGTGTGTAAACTGTTAACCTAAAAAGTATCTAAACAAGTTATCGGAAAAACAAAATTGTAGGAATCACAACCAATTTTTGTCACTACCTTATCATTGCTAATTTTCTCTTAAGCCAGATTATTAGAAGATTAATTGAACTAACCAATGGTGTTAGGGATAATTAAAAGTATAAGGGATTACTTCAAGAAACACTCACACACACGCGTGCACACAAGAGAGAGACAGCTTAGGAAAATCTTTCCATTACTATCTACTTCAGTCTTTCCAATTACTACTTTATTCCTATGTTTGTTTCCTTAAAAGGAATGAAAATGTGTGTGTATTAGTCCATTCTCACACTTCTCTAAAGAGATACACAGGGTAAAGAAAATAGAGTACATATGCACCATGGAATACTATGCAGCTACAAAAATGAATGAGATATGTCCTTTGCAAGGACTGGATGGAGCTTGAGGCCATTATTCATAGCAACAGGAACAGAAAATGAAGTACCATATATTCTCACTTATAAGTGGGAGCTAAATGAAGAGAACACATAGAGACACAGAAGGAAACAACACACACTGGGGCCTTTCAGAGGATGGAGGGTGGGAGGAGGGAGGGGATCAGGAAAAACACCTAATAGGTAAAAGGCTTAATACCTGTGTGATGAAATAATATGTACAACAAATTCCCATGACACAAGTTTATCTATGTAACAAACCTGCACTTCTACCCCTGAACTGAAAAGAACATTAAAAATAATAATAATAATTAAAAAAACAGTAATACCTGAGACTAGGTAATTTTTAAAGAAAAGAGTTTTAATTGGCTCATGGTTCTGGAGGCTTACAGGTAGCATGACTGGGGAGTCCTCAGCAACGTACAATCACGGCAAAAGATGAAAGGAAAACAGGCACATCTTACATGGCTGGGCAGGAGAAAGAAAGAGAAAAGAGAAAGATGCCACATACTTTTAAACTAAAAGACCTCAAAAGAACTCACAATTAGGAGAACAGCAAAGGGGAAATGGACTCCATGATCTAACCACCTCCCACCAAGCCCCCCTTGCAACACTGGGGATTACAATTTGACACGACATTTGGGTAGGGACACAAACTATATCAGAGTGTGTATAATACACACACACACACACACACACTCCAGACCAAACAAGGAGACTCGACATTTCACCGGCTTAGTTTCTGGCTGACTGTGGTGTTCTATGAATTTACCAAACATGATGAGAAAGTTATGTGGAATCCAACTACATCTACATATTCTGTTTTGTTTTGTTTTTCTTCTCCTTAAACAATTTTTTCTTCTCCTTAAACAATTTCAACTTTTACAAGGTTCTGGGATGCTCTTATTAAATATTAAATCATCATAATTAATAGACTAAAAATTTGTGCTATAAAATTCCAGTTATCCAATAGTTACACAATGACAGAAGTGATACAGTAGAAAACTGGCAACATTTTATTGAAAGAAACATTTTTGCATTTTTGTTCACTCAAAAGTAAGTTATTTAAAATGTCCCCCAAACACACACATATATGAAATAAAATATAAATTCTATTTAAATAATGTATGACACTCTTATTAAAGTCAATTAACTATAATACACACTGTATTTTGCACTCAAATTCATTAACAGGACCTGCAGATTACTTCCTGCTATTAATTTTACATAAAGATTTATAAACAATCATTGAAAATCAAAATGAAATATATGTCCCTATTTTAGAATGATTTGAAAGGACATTAGTGATAAGTTGATCTCATTAAGATTTTTTTAAAATGAGATGTAAAGGGATTCATGCCCTCTCTTTCAACCTCATATCCAAAGCAGTAATTTTTTTTTCATAATTAATAGCCAAAGTCCCTGAATGACTTGTACCTGGGTTTACCCAATTTATGACTACATATACATGTAATTTTATTGTAAATATATATTTGATATATTTTACTGTGCAAAAATTTAAAACAGGACTTAAAAGTGAGAAATATAAGGAGATTGGTCCTAATAGACAGTGGAAATTACTGATTATGAATGTTAGTGATATGAAAAATTTTAACAATCTCTTTAATTTCTCAAAAATATTCATATATCTTTAGTCTATGAATTATGTGAGTTCAAATATAATTAATCACATACAAGCTAATCCAGATTTTAAGATACAGAATCCTTCTATTTTAGTGATATGGTATATTGAAATTTAAAAATAATACCACCGAATTTAAGTAATGCGCCATGATAAAGATCTACAGAATATGTCTAAAAGTGTCACATTTATGTGTGACCGAAGGTCCACACACAATCTAACATATTTATGAGTGTGTTTCATAGATATGTCATGCTAGTGTTTTCAGAATGAAACATCAGTCTCATGTTTCTGTCGTATTAGTCATCACAGAGCTATACTAACATGATTTCATGCTTTGAACTCCCATCTTTTTTATTACTATGGTAAATATATCATTAAATATGAAATCCACAAATAGAAAACATTTTAAAATGGGAATAAACACAAAACCGACTCTGAAAACAATTGCTTAAGAAAATAATGCATTTTCCATGCAATACATTGGCTAATAAATCTTTAGAGAGGTGACACCAAACTAGTTCCTTACTGAGCAATCCAAATTTTGACACTAGATACACTCCATCGGTTTTCACTGTAAACTGCCTCATTTCATTTAACATATTGTATTGCTTGTCCTTCTGCCCTACTTGGATTCTCATTCAGTCAGAAGAGAGGAAACCATTCTTGCTATTTACAAACTTGTTTCTATTTTTCTGACTCAGTCTTTAGAATAAAATCCCTAGCAGGTGGGTGCAGTGGCTCACATTTCTAATCCCAGCACTTTGGGAGGCCGAGGTAGGAGGATCACCTGTGGTCAGGGGTTCGAGACTAGCCTGGCCAACATGGTGAAATCCCATCTCTATTAAAAATACAAAAAATAGCTGGGAGTGGTTGGTGGCTGCCTACAATCCTAGCTACTGGGGAGGCTGAGGCAGGAGAATCACTTCAACTGGGGAGGTAGCAGTTGCAGTCAGCCAAGATTGTGCTACTCCACACTCTAGCCTGGGTGACAGAGGGAAACTCAGTTTCACAAAAAAAAAAAAAAAAAAAAAAAAAAAAAAAAAAAAAAAGAAGAAGAATAAAATCCCTAGCTACACACCTAACTCAGTACATGATTAGTGGTTCCTGTTAACCTTTTTTCTTGCTCACAGCCTTGCCCATCCTTTAATACAACTGTGATGAAAATCGACAGAATTATATCTGGTAATTCTCTTTCACACTAAAACTGACTAAAGAATCTCTTTGAATTAGTTGCTTTCAGAGAAATATTTGCCGCTCTATCAAAGATAGCTTTCTTACAGTTGCAGAGTAATTGAATATGAAAAATTTTAAAGTAAACACCTTTATTTTTTATGGTTATATGGTCTGAAAACCAGTACTTCAACCGTTGATTATACTCAGGTGATTCAACCAAAGCATATTGAGATACATTAAATAAGCAATGTTTCTATTCTGACAAGTTCTAGTTTTAAAATGAAGGCAATGATACATTCCGTACTTCCGTCTTTTTAGAGTTCCTTTTAATACATTAAGGCCCAAATTATTCTTGCCAAACATGCAGTTCTTGGAGTAGAGATGTGTGATGGCAGTGGTTAGCGGATCGTCCATACTCTCCTTCGCCAGTAATGGTGGTACAGCTGCCAAGCTATATTTTGAAGCCTCCCATGCAGGTATTTCTGTGTAACTAAGGTCTCTTTAAATGAATTCAAGCAGAAGTGACATGTGCCATTTCTGGGCCTGGGATCCTGTAGTGAATTCTTATAATTTTATGTAAACTTGGCACTCATTTTGAATGGAATTTTAACTTTCTTTCTTTTATTTATTTATTGTTTTTCGAGACAGAGTCTCACTCTGTCGCCCAGGCCACAGTACAGTGGTGCAATCTTGGCTCACTGCAACATCTGCCTCCCATCTCCTGCCTCAGCTTCCTGAGTAGCTGGGATTAAATGTGCCTGCCACCTTGCCTGACTAATTTTGTATTTTTATTAGAGACGGGGTTTCACCATGTTGGTCAGGTTAGTCTTGAATTCCTGACTTTGTGATCTGCCCACCTTGGCCTCCCAAAGTGCTGATTACAGGTGCAAGCCACTGCACCCAGCCTGAAGTTTAACTTTCTTATATCAGCAGCAGGGCTCACTCGACCTTGACATATTTCCAGTTCTAGGCCATACCCAAATGGCACAAGCCAGAGGACAGAAATAATTTCTCTCTCGCCTAACAAACTGGGCTCCCTGATTTCCTGCTTTATCCTGTACATAGTGATAACTTAATGACCCATGCTCTAGTCCCTTACATATACTGCAAGATGCCTCGTGCTCTTCTGCCCTGGACTGACTCTGCCCGACTCTACACAAGTCATTGTGCCCTTCTTGCCCAGGATCTCTAAGTAAAAATCTTTGAACTTCTTTGCTACAGTAGTGGTATATGGAATTTTCTCCTTCCATTTGAAGAACCAGGGGTTGCCCCAACCTGGGCTTTCTTCAAGACAACAGGGAAAACATGAGGTCAGGCTCCCAGCACCAGAGAAATGTAGGCAAGCATAAACTGAACACACGTCAGACAAGAGCCATAAGGGTGTCTGCCAATATTAACAGGTTGTCTGTGTGAGGGATCCCCTGGTCACAAGTGGGACAAAGGGGCATCAGGTTGTCCACTGTGTCAAAGAAGCATCCTGTGAAAGACACACCGGAAACACCCATGTCTGTCCAGCACCCCATTATTTCCCTTGAAGGCAGGGTTGCCAGTTGCTCTGGTACTGGAACCCTACTTCAGCTGGGGGCTCTCAAAACAGATGCTCCCCCTTTCTATTAGCTAGAGCACTGAGGTTCTTGTGTTCTAGTTTTGAACATGTCATTAGGTGACAGTGGAAAGACAAGGTAGGAAGAATCTGAGCTCCTGAATGACCACCAGGAGCAGAGCTGTGTTAAGGACCAGGAGCACTCATTTCAAGATTATTACATGGGCAATGAGAATTGATATGTTCTTAAAAGCCACTGTATTTCAGATTTGTTTCTTTGTTATAGCAACTTAGCCTTCACCCCAATACAAAAGGGGATGGGCCAGAACATACAGGACAGAATATGAAACTCTGCATTACAGGTCAACTATACCCTTTAGATTTATCTATTTGAGACAAGATAACCATA